CCTGATGTTGGTTGTCTCCCTCTTTTTTAGACCTCATCATTTTCACACTTGTATTTAGATCATGAAACTGTGGAACCCAGAGGGCTCCCCTTACCTCAGGTAGCACAGTCAGGTGGACGCTGCAGGTAAAGCATGCTTTTACCTGCAGCATCCACCTGAGGGAGCACAGTCAGGTGGCACTGGACCACAGGTGTGTGTGTGCGTGTGTGTAATCCTGAAACCAGTCAAAGGGAGCTGTCGGCGGCTCTGTACCTTTCTGCTTCGATGACGATGAACTCCGAGTTCATTCCTGATGGAGGAAAGAACCGTGAAAGATCTGAAGGAGAACGAGCTTCTTCCTCTGCTTCATTTGTCGATTTATTCCTAGATGTGAATATGATTCCATGTTTGTACAGGATGTGTTTTTAAATGTGGTTTCCTGTTTTTTAAAAAAATAAAAAGTGGACTGCAGCATGCACTACTCCAACATGCCCCTGTAGGCCGCCATGTTTGGCTGCAGACGCACAGGTCATTCCATCTGAAATCATCACATTTGATTGGCTTAAAAATGGTTTAAAATGGGACACGTGTACTGATTGGAAACGCAATCTGCAAATAATCATGTGGATATTTCGTTCAAAGCAAAGGCCCATCCGTCAGTGTTTGAACGTGAATCCAAAGCGTCTAAAGAAAACAGTCTGACCATGAAACTGAATCAGGATCAGTCTTTACCCTCAGCTACTGCACAAATAAACTGGACTGAGCTGAAACACCAGGAAGCTCTCAGTGGGGGGGTAGCTGGGAAAACTGCAGAAGTGACAGTTTGACAGCAATGCAAAATAAGATCAGCAGACACGCGGATCCAAATGGAGCCAGGTGCCATATGGTACTCTGATTATAACCTTTGTTTTAATATCAGCAAGTCTCACAGCTGAAGAGACTTTTCAAGCTGCAGATAAATGTAGGAAAGGACGAGGAATGAAAACAGGGTGTGTGTGTGTGTGTGTGTGTGTGTGTGTGCGGTGATTTCAGATGTAACGACCACATGTTGTTGTCTGAACAAACTGAAGTGACTCTGGAAACTGTTTTAACCTCGTTGTTAAAGATGCAGCAGGATTTTGTGGAACATGAGCGAATGCCTTGAAAATGCAAGTGTTGTCCTTTTTTTTATTTCACCTATTTAAATCGACATTGTTTTATATGAATTTCTATGGAAATCTAGCTATTGATAAATATTGCAGAGTTTTTAATATTGACCCAGAAGAGGTTGTGTTTGCCATTGTGTCAGTTTGAGCCTGTGGATAAAACCATTAAAGCAGCACCTCCCATTGCTTCAGGCTGATGCTTCACAGACACGTTGCAGTTCTCGCTGCAGCACGACTCTCTGAGATGACAAAGTACACACATTCTGTATTCGAGTAGAACAGTAGTACAGATACGTGCGTTAAAAAGTACTCCAGTGGAAGTTGAAGTACTGACTCAGCGTCTTTGGTCGAGTACAAGTGGAAATGTACTCGAAGTAAGAAAGTAACTGTTTTAATGCACAGATAAGTGGACCTGCTGCTATATTATGATAATAAAGTAATATTAGTCAAATTTAAATTCTAATTCTAATGAACGCACTCAGCTTGAATCTGTTGTTTGGGACACAAGCAGTAAATAATAGAACAGAAATAACAGTCACAATAATAACAATCACAATAACTTCTGTTGAGAGCTCCAGGACATTTTCTTAGTGGTCAAGCTGTGATCAGCTGACCTGCGGCTCGTTGTGGATTTGCATAACCAGATGTGAGCAGATGTGTCCTGGCTGATGCCCATCCACTACACTGTTTACAGTAGACAGTGAGTATAAAGTCTTAACTCATCTTAAATGCAGGTTCACATCTGCTACACTCGCTGTAACCTAACACTAACCAGTACACTGTCTCAGTCCAACACAGGTCTTTACTGGGAATTCACCAGTTTAATGCACAAAACTCCCTTAAATGTTTAGAAAAGATTTGAATAACCTTAGTTTTTCAGAACATTTCAGAATATAAAAACACAATTTATCAAGACTGATCGTATACAGATTAAATATGGGGATTATTGCGTTAAATGTAACCTCTACATCTGTTTTGTCACTGAATGTGTTGCTAAAGCTCCAGCTGATGAATTTCCAGGGAGAGAAAAGAGTGCACGCTAACTTCATTTACAAAGATGTAAGAAAGGATCAGCACTGCTCAGTCACAGTAACTGGATAAACTGCAGTCTGTTTCTCTGTTGGCCCCGCCCACTTTACCCCTGAGCATAAAGGCTATGAGGATGCTGCTGAACCTAAAGTGACGAGCCTGTTTTAAAAACGTAAGGAGTACAAAGTGCAGATATTTGACTTAAGTACAAAAGCTTAGTTCCTGTTACACTAGTACTTAGTACTTAAGATCCAGGAACCTCTGGATTCCTGGATCCACCAGCTGTGTTTTCATCATGCACACTCTGTTGTAATTAAGTACAAATACTTCAAATTACCAGTTCCCATCTCTGTGAGTTATATCCCAGTGATATTTGGTGTTTTCTGCAGGTGCTTCATTGGAGCTGTTAGCTACTGTACGTAGGAAGCTGCTGTCATACCAGAACAAACAGGTGAACATGGATCACTACGAGTTCATCACTGAGACCAAGAACTTTCATACCTGAAGTCTGAGAAGGTTCTCAGTCATCCAGCTCATTGGACTACAATGAGCTGGGAAAGAAAAGCGTTTTTTTAAGTGTCCCTGACGAAGTTTCATCCAAGAAGCTTCTTCAGCACTAAGAGTAATTGGTGGGAGTGTCCCCAAGAGGGTCATGGACCCCCTATTGATCCTCCTCTGCCTCATCACATGAGCCGAGGTGTGAAAACAGGTGTGGGTCACAATCAGCTCAGGATTTGAGTGAACCCAGGTTTTCAAACTACAAGCAGGACATCCTCCTCTATCAAATCCAACAGTGTGGTCTGATAGAGGGAACGGAGGCGACCACAGGAAGTAGCATATGAGCAGTAACTGTGTGAACATGTCTGACGTTTCTATCTACATGGTGACTCTTCATTGGCTTTCTTGGAAGCAAAAACAAAACTTCTCTCTGCTCCTGAAACTGGGTTTGGTCAGCCATCTGAAAGATGTGTTGCATTTAAGTCAGTGATGTTGAAACTGGATTTATTTTGAACACAGGACAAGTACCATCAGATTTGGCTCCATTATGCAGTCCCACCTAGAAAGCATCTGGTATGATTTTCTTTTGCAGCATGATAATGATCCCAAATACAAAAGTATGTCTGAATAGAAAAACACACATTACAGCAGGACCTGGACATTGTTGAAGCCGTGTGGGATCAGCTTGACAAAGAACAGAAGATCGCCATTCAAAGCGCTTTGACGACCACTGAAAGAAATGACAGGAAGCTGCCTCACAGATTTTAGAGTTGAACAATAAATGTGGTAACATCATTTGAACATTTTCATTGCTCAATTCTAAAATCTAGTGTAACCAGAATTTCAGCAGAATCAACTTCAGCTTATTGTGCAGCCCTCCACAACTCTCCCATTTTCTCATTTTGCCCCATTAGAAATCGCCTGATGTCGCCCACTCTGTAGAGCAGCGGTCCCCAAACTTTTTTTGCGCCACGGACCGGTTTATGCCCCTCAATATTTTCACGGACCGGCCTTTAAGGTGTCGCGGATAAATACAACAAAATAAAACTAGTACTGGTACAGAAAAAAATAAGATTTATTCATAACACACGTGAAAAGACCCAGGAAAACCAAGTAAATGATAAAAACGATAACAAAATAACGCT